GAGGGGGGGTGGGGGTGGGGGAATATAAGCTGCGTGATGACAAATGTTTCATTTGCCCCCAGCACACTCTGGCTTATTTTAACCTCGGCTTCACAAGAGGATGCCTGCAGGCAACGTAAAAATAGATACTTAGCTAAAAGAAGAGAGGTCCCAGCATGGGGCATGGGGCAGCACGTGAAGCTTGAGGCTGGGGTTCTTCGACCACCCACAGCAGTGCTGGGGCAGGGGGATCCACACCACACTGGGGATGGGAGTCTCTGGATGAGCATAGCACTGACACCACACACTCCTTCAGGGCACAGCCCTCTGTCCCCCTGATTCATGTGTCTCCTCTGTAGGTCTGCTGGAAATCTCCCCTGTGGAAAGAGGCGTGGTGAGCATATATGGTGTTAGGAGTGGACTCTTCGTGGCCATGAATAGCAAAGGCAAACTCTATGGATCTGTAAGTAGCCACCAAGTGTGTGCCTGGGGAGGGAAGCACGGTCAGCTGGGGTGAGAGTTGTGCATGATGCTAAAAGCTGCCCGAGCCCCATCCTTGCCCCTCCTGGGTCAGGCAACCCAGAGCAGCCCTTGCTGCCTTGCCCGCAGGTGTGCTGCCCAGATATGCTGCTCACAGAGATTTTGAAGTGAAACCCACTCTTTTGCATTACACTTCCTTAGTTCCCCCATAAAAACTATAGTCACTCAACCATGGCTATCCATCTTGCCTACCACATAGGCCAACAGAGTAGTCATTTGTGCGGCAAGACCTCAGGCTAGCCTCAGTCCATATCTTTCTTACATTTAAGTACAAACAGCCTTAAGCAGGTATGGCAATCGCTTGCTCCATCTCTCAGAGGGCACGTAAACTTGTGATCAGCCAGGCCCCCACAAATGACCCTTTATGATGTGATGAATCAGTGCCTGTCACATGCCTATTGATCACTCTTTGTTAATGCTCTTGATCAGAGAGTCTGTTCTCATGACAGTTCAGCATCCTCAGGGTTTGGACTTCTATTTATAAGAAGGCAGATCTATTAGGAGACAATACAGGTCTTTTTTTACATTGAATCTTTGGCAAAGATAGAGGCATCTTAAAAAATATACTTGAGGTGGCCAATAACAGTGCATGTCTTTGCCCATGTTGAACTGTCCTCCTGCTTTTGAGTTCACTTCTGTATAAGTTTCTGTGATCAGCATAATTTCAAACCCGTGTTCCTGGGTCTCCTTCCTTACCCATGGCTTTTCTATTTCAAGTTTCTCAAATATGCTTTGAAGAAACGGGCTGAGGAAGAGCCAAACTTTGTCAAAGTTAGCTAGGGCATTTTCACATGAAGACATGAAGCATCCAGAATTATTTTCTGGGGCATCAATCCTGTTACAGAGGATTTTGACTTACATAAAAGCCAGGCAGAATCAGTCATCAAAATGCAAGACCTCCCTTTGCATCATTTCTTAGGAAGACTGCTGCTTTGGTGTCCTGGATAAAGTAACTCCCAGCTCAGTGTTCAGCCTGGCGGACTGAGACCCACCTTAAAGAACGCCAGGCTTTTGCCCAATGAGAAGAGATGAGTTCATTGCTCTCCAGATAACAACACACTTGTAATGCCTGTCCCTCTTTGTACCTACTTGCAAATGAAACCTCTCCACTGGGAAGGTGCCTTTTGTCAGCTCTGTTTTCCTGATCCATTAACATAAGTGATACAAACCCCTTCAATTTTAAAACTAAAGAAGCAGAAGATATTTGCCACTCTGAGTGGCTTTAAAATGCCTCTTTCTCCTCAAGCGCCATGAGATTTTTCTGAATTTATTGCTCGTAGGACAACCACTAAGCAATTAGATGAACAGGGCAGCAGAACTGGGTTTGGGCCTTGCCCCTCTGCAGCTCTGTTAAACCTTGCTCCTCTCTCTCAAGGGTGCAGACACAGCTATGGGTGTCCTTCCCACCTTTCGGTGTACATGCCTGGCCTGGACACAGCATCCTTAATGATCCTCTGACTCCTGGGTCCTGTTTGAAGCTTCATTTGGGTGACCACTTCAAAAGATTACTAAGGGGGAGGGAGTCAGCTGCACATTTCCCTGCAGCACACCTTCTACACCTGGTAGCAAGAATATTTCCACACCTTATGTTTAAAATTCTTTCCCTCTCATTCTTTCCTTTTCATTTCAGACTCATTTCAATGATGAGTGCAAATTCAAAGAGATTCTTCTGCCAAACAACTACAATGCTTACGAATCCAGGATTTATCCCGGGATGTACATAGCCCTGAGCAAAAACGGAAGAACAAAGAAAGGCAATAAAGTATCTCCCACAATGACAGTGACACATTTTCTTCCTAGAATCTGAGACATCTCCCTTCAGACCTACCTCAGCACAGGGGAAGACACAGAACACATTTGTGGAAAAGAAACATGGTGCACTTTTACTGGAGAGTTTTATGCAAGAGTAGGTGTATGATATTTAAGTTAATTATTTAAATCTGTATATATTGCCATGAAATTTATTTATAGTCCAGATATTTTTTTTTTTAATTTCTGAAAACAAAACAAACCTCCAACCCAAGGTGTTTCATTTCATGGTGCAACAGTAGAAGACTCCTGCTTTGTGGTTTATTTAATTCATTTCTAAGTTATCACAGGTGTGCTGCTACTCCGTGTCCTAAACCAGGTGAAGCTCAATTCCTCTGTTACAATGTTTTGCACTGTTTGTGTGTTGTACGGTGTCTATCGTTGTACACATGTGTGTGTGTTTGTTTGTTTGTTACGGTGGCTTTGCTCTCCCCTGCGGCGTGTTTTTCCAAACCCTCATGACTCCCAAAGGAGCTCTTGGCCTCCGAGAAGGCGCCGCAGCAGAGGTGCCTGGGTGGGATGCCAGCGCAGAGCCACACACAATGCCTGACCTCCTTTGTGCAGTGTTGCTATTTAATCGGAATGGTATTGGTTTACTTCGGTACAGAAAGCGCGGTGCTGAAGAGCTACCCCCCAAATCTGTTTTTAGATCTGCCAGTGCTGAACTTTGAACTTCCCGCAGTCAGTCTTCTCAGAGCTGCCAGGCAGTAGAGAGGCTTAAACATCTATATAAACTCACCAGGGTTGGTTTTGGTTTTTTTTTTTATTTAGATAAACAGGAGCATATGATCTTTTGTGGCCCTTAATGGAAGCTTATATTTGATATAATGACTTGGCATTAGGCTAAAATAAAAAGTGTCTGTCCTTCCCCCAGTGAGCGCACTGTGAAACACACTACCGTGAACGAATTATGCTTCATTCAAGTCAAATTCCCTTTCACATCTGGAGACTACCTTCAGTTTTCAAAGTTTGTGAAACTCTGTAATACTCATAAGTTTTTAAAAGGCAAAAGCATTTGCTGGTTCATAGAAAACACAAGCTCCACAGAGAGAGTTTAGATTGCTTACAAGGAACTGAGGTTGTTTTGTACTATTTATTATTTTTGGTGCAGTATTTGGAAGGAGAAATATGCTGCTTTTTTCTGTCTCATTCCCTGACAAAGTTGATTGATTTCTACCTCACTAACTCTCAAAGCCAGTCTCCCAACAAAGTCTGCGTGGAAGGAAGGTACACGTTCCTCTGCTTGGTCTTACAGTTCTGGAGGAGGGCCCAGGGGAACAATCGTAATCCCAAATGTCTCTTTTTTCCATATGTAGCCAAAAGTATTCAGGATAGAGTTGGTTGCATCCTATTTGAGCCTTGTCACGTTTGAGCTATCTTTATCCAGTGGTTTACTTTTAGTAAGGATAATCATGGTGAAAATATTTGCAGACAGCTGTCAGGCTGCAGTACTGTATCGTCATCAAGTAACCCTATATTTTTCTTTACATATTTCGCAAGTGTAACTCGTATCTCTAACGTGATGAAGGAAAAGACAAGTCAGATTATGGGGGAATCACTAAAAGGACACATTTGTACTTTTTTCTTTCTTTCTTTTCTTCTTTTCTTTAAAAGATACGTTGTCATTGGGGCATCAGGACTAACCACAATGTTTAGTGACTTTAGAGGATGTTTACAGATCATCTTCCAATCTAAACTAGTTATTTCTGACTACATGCAAATCTGAATTCAGCATTTTTTTTTTCTCTTTACATTCCTACATGAAAGCCTTCATTTCTTTGTAATGGTATAGACTTGCCTGTATCCTCTACTTACACATGACCTTGAAGACAAAGTCTACTCACTAAAGTTCAGTAAGACCAGAGCAGACCAGGACCAGATCTTAAGCCAGCTGCTGTCAAGGCAAAAATAATAATTAATAAAAAGGAAGCCAAATCAAGAGAGAGCACCTAGGAAATGTCATGCCTAAGTATTTCAATTAGTTTTTTTCTGTAATTTGGGGGATTTCTGTACTTTCTATGTTTTCTATCTGTAAGTAATCGTTGTGTCATTATCACCACTACCTCTGACAACTGATGCTTTTGTTCCAGATTTCAGATAGCAAACTCAGATCACAAAGATTTTCTCTGGGAATGGTTCTTCTTTGTCACTTTTCACTCCAATAAATCCACAACTGATGGCCTCACACAAGATACGCTCAGAGGTAGTTGTTGTGACTTTGAAATATTGTGATAAAACCTTAATAACGATGTTACATGGTATGAGCTTTCACCATTTACCAGAATCTGTCTGTAGTTTTATACAGGTGCTGTTTAAGACCGTGGTGTATGTGCTGTGCACATTTAAATGCATAATAAATGATAAATGTTTACAACATATGGCACTCTGGTATTGATTTTAGCTCTTCAGAAGGGAATGCATCCTGCAATGAAAGACAAAAAAGAAAAACGCTTTTTCACTTTCCCAAAGACTGGGGAGTCTTTGCACCTATGCCAGATACTTCATGAATGACAGCCTGGATTTCTTACTCAGCTAAAGTTCACCCTGCCAAAGTTGGAAGTTGTCCAGACAGCCCAGCTTCACGAGCTCAGCAACAGATACTCATGCTTGCCTCTGCCACGCACTTGTATTCTTACTTGTATTATTTGTGCGGTCGTTAACAACGGCAGCTTTTTGTGCAGCATCTAATATTAATGACCAGAGACACAAACCTCTTTTGGCATTTATCATAGAATCATAGAATCATAGAATCATTTATGTTGACGGATGTTAACAAATGAAACCTGATGGTCTTTTTCTTGGCTTTAATGAGCGCTGCTCATTCTCTCTCTGTGAAGTAGGACTACATAAATGGAAGAGATTGCAGGATTTACCTGTTTGATTTGAAATCCCATCTCTTTTTACAATGAATGATTATAAGAGCATGTAGAAATATGAAATGCTTTGTAGCACACCTTATGGCAAGATTCTTTTGCACAAATTTTATTTATAAGTACTCACACATTTGCACTTGTACACACACTATGTCAAATCTATGTACTTTCAGCTTTACTCATGGGTCACCCTCTTCCAAGGATTAGGGAGGATATGTAATGTGAACAACAGTATTCAGATTTGATCTTGCATATCTTGATGGCAAAGGAAGCTTGTCCCCCTCAGGGCCATACAAACCAGAAAGCCAGACCCCAAGATACAGACTTGTTCACTTAATTTTCCACGGAGTGATACTCTTTTTCCTATTCCAAGAATGGGGATGGCAATAGATGAGCTGGGAATGTCCAGTGCCCTCACTGAGCAAAAGCAATTTCTCTCTAAAATTACATAGGCTCTATAAATACGTAACACAGGCAAGGTTTTTTTAACTGGACAAGTATAGCTGCAGTGTGCTTAATGTTCCTATGAATAGAGCAAGAATAAATAGGCAAGCAGACATACATAATCACTTTTCATAATTAACTTTTTTGTTTACAATGCTTGTAAAAAAAAGCAAACATAAATTTTTTACTGCCTGATCTTCTAAAATGATAACAAAAAAATATTGTCCAGGGACAAAAATTTGCTTCAGCCTTGAGGAGACATCCAATTATAATTTTAAGATCGGGGATAAATCCTAAGACTTGGCTCTTAGGAAGGTGAAATTTCAGAGCAGGAGCTTTGCAGGTTCATAGCACCTAGAGTATTGGCACTGCAAATGTGGTCCTTCCCCCACAAAAATATATGGGCCTGTTGCCACCACAGATGGAGCAGCTTGAGATGTCACGAAGAACTCTAGAGAAACCTCCTTCTTCTCTGGCATCACCCATTTTTGCGTCATTGTTAAGCCAGCTTTCCTCATGTTGCCTTTGGAGATAGTAAAAGAAATGCATTAAAGGTGAAAATTAATTTTAACCCCCCAAAAAGACCCTGATACATCATGTGTTGCAACATTTCTGAGATCACTGAGAGCGTCGCTGTGCTCCGGGCATGCCCAGTGCTCCTGCCATCCTCTACCAAACATTTCTCTGCACAGAACAACCAAAAACCTTTCCTGAGGCTGGATTAACCCCTTCCATAAGCCAGGCACATTTTGCCCCATCCAGTGATGGCCCAGTCTGTCCTGTAGGATAAACTGAAGAGGAGCAGTGCCAGCCTGGCCCCACGCCATGCCCCTGCTTGCCAGGGGAAGGGCAGAGACGAGGCTCCAAGCCCCATCGCTCGTTTGCAGACTTGCATGTTTTAAATGGTCCATGCTTAACATTTTCTGACTCATCTGTGACATCCACCAAGTTGTCTGTATCTAATCTGTGCTAATAAAAATCAGCATGACAAAACACTGCCTTGTGTATAAATAGCCACAGGTTTCAGAGCGGTCACTGGGTTTATAGTGCCAGATTCGGTTGTTCACACTTTACCACTTGGTTTCCACTGCAGTATATTAACTGACCATGCAAGTGGCCAATTAAAGGGAGTCTGTTAAGGGGTGAGGAGCCTTTTGACAAAGGCTAGCAAGCACTTCAGCGAGAAAGTTAAAAGGAATTCCCTGAAACACTGCAGCTCCCTTTATATCACACAAAGTATTGCTGCTTGCCAAGCACAGATGAGAACAGATTTTTAATGTAGAAAACCCAATCTGAAGCTAAAAAGAACAACAACAAAAAAAATCCCCCCCAAACCCCATTTCTTCTTCTACCAAGTAATCTAAACATGGATGGGATAGTGCCAAACTGTAATACCCCGCTGCTTTCTGGCAATACAACATGCAAAAGGGAGGCACAGCACCATTTCAGTTTCCTGCACAGCAGTTGTGATTTGCGGACTGCGAACAAGAAAGATTACCGTGAACTGTTTGTTTTTAAAATTGATTACTTAAAAAAAAAAAGCTTACTATCATGCCAAGAAATGCCTACAGCCAGTCACTTAAGGCAATTACTTAATGTAAAACATTGCCAATTTCTTGTATCATAAGTTTCATTACACATTAAAAAGAAGTTGGCTAGTGCTGTCTATAGAACAGATTGA